CCTACATATTAGCTGTAAAGAACTATTTTATTTATCTATACTTACTGTGCATCAGCTTACACCAAAATACATATAAACAAAGGCTTGCTGTAATGTCTTGCACTATCTTAATTTGCGTGAGCTATTAAACTAGACTGTTATACAGCCTTAATGGTATTAGAATATCTGCAATAACCCCTACATCTATATGCTAAAAGTTCAGGCCCTGACCTTTAAGGAAAGATAAACAGATATCCATTTTCATTTAGAAAAGCCAACAAACAATCCGCATTGACTGAAACATATGACTGACCTTCTCTTCTGACTTTATTAAACAGCTAAATCCTACGAAAGTTCAGGTTATTTTAAAATGCCAAAACAGCAATAAATATTAAGAAATCATAATTACAGAAGCACATCCTGTAGGGTTATCTTACCATGTCATTTTATATAATAAAGCTCATGCAGTATGTAGAAACACAGCTGTAATAAAGAAGGTCTGTCTGTATTGAAAAAGAGTCAATTCTCATACACTACATCATTAACCAGAATGCACAGGTTAAATTGAAAGCAAATTTCAAGATGAAGTCTTACATGCTTGTATTCCTTAATGCACCCCACAAGGACTTTTTAATCTAATGATGGTAATTGGTGAAATAACTGCTGTCTGTTAGCTACAAAGAAGGCACTTTTGTTAAATATCTATAAAGCCTGTATTATTACAACATCCTTCATTAGAAATAATCAAAGACAATCAACATCCCTATTGCACTCATATTTATAACAAACTACTTGGGGGCATCCTGAAGTGTTTCGCTTCATTTGTTGCTCCACATGTATGTTCTCAGAGTGATCAACTAAAGACAAAGTGAGAGAACATGCCTCTTTCTACAGCGGATATTAAGAAATGAAAGACAGCAACAACAAAAAGGCATCCTTCCTTACACATTTTTTTTAAAACCTCACCATGCATAAAACACAATACACTAAATTGTTTCTGTCTATAATCTGAACTAGGTGCCATTGCTTCATAAGCAGTGTTCTCACATAAGCAAACCCTTAGGAACAAATATCCCCTTTAAACTTCTGAAATACACTCTAGATACAGATTTAAAATGTTTTACTAGCATAGGAGCCATCAGACTTCTCTGATGTGAGCTAGATGTTTAAGTTTCTTATAGATCACTTTCCACCAACAGGTAACATGCTTGCCCTTCACTCCAAAACAATCGAATATATTGGTGCAAGCAAGGCTAAATTACATTACAGAAGCGGGGAAAGTATTTATGAGGCAGTATCCAGTGCAAGATGACCCAAAAGTAACATCACATCACAGTCAAAGAATCCATAAAACATTAAAATTCTCATATCTTATGAGCAGCTATAACTCCACATTTATTTCATGCAAAATACTGTGTTACCATCTTCTATATTCATTTATTGGTGCTTTTAAATTACACAAATTCTAAACACCCACTCCTGGCTAAGAATTCTTTTCTGCAATGTCTGAGTGGTACCTCTACAGGCTTCTGCAGTCACAAAAAAATACGTAAAAATCCCTGTAGTGACTGAAAGTGTATTTGTAAGTACAGTGATACCTTACTCTGCCAATAACAATTTTTTCCAAGCAGGATGATCTGAGCTGATGGCCTAAAGAATTTCTTGAAGGAGCATGAACAACAGAAGCAAACTGTCAACTCAACCTTATGTTACCCAAGTTTGTAGAGCTTAAAACTCAGCAACCAGAAAGAAGCAATCTGGTCGTTCATGTGAAGTTCATAGAAAGAAAAGCAAAATGTGAAACTGTAAAATCTATACCATTCAATGAATCGTCTTAAATATTTTTTGATAAAGAGATTAATTAATAAAAATTATTAACACCAAGCACACAAAATACCCTAAGTAGAAGATACTTTGAGTTCATGGAGAATTTTCTTAGGTGGGTAAACTTTTTGCTGTGTAATGTATATGCCATTCTTGCTGCTAGAGATCAAACTATATCTAACTTTAAACAAGAACAGTTTAATAACATAAAGTTTACAGCACGTATAATCCTTTAAAAAAAATTATTTCCCAAGAGTTCAGAAATACTTGCATTTAAATGTCATTTTATTATACTTCAGACTATCTTAAAAGCATCCAGATGGTAACTACCTAAAAATACCAAATTTTCTCACTTAGGACATTTAACACACCATAAAAATTCCGCGTATGTACCAATGCATCTACATGTGCACAAATAACACAGATGTTGAGATAAGTACACATTGCTTTCTCTTCTGCCCTTAAATAGTCTCTCACCCCCATTCAAATTGCATTACCATAAGGGCCAAGATAGGAAATACCTCTTTACATCTCTATCATTTAAACAAAGTCTTACACATCTCAGCAGAATAAAGAGAAGCTTCAGCTGAAAATCAAAAAGTTCAGTTTACCAACTGGATCTAACACACTCTTAAAATGTAACAGCAAAACCAGTTAGACAATTTGAAAAGTCATTATAATTGTAAAGTAGAGAAGTTGGGGCATTTTAGCTTATTTCTTTATATTTAACAGTTCACCAGCCCCTCGGTCTTAGCCAACAGAATGTGTAGCACTGAAGTGCACTTCTCTATTAGTTGAGTGATGGAAAACAATGTTAGAGTACTCTTCAAAACAGCCTTTTGCTAACATGCTGCACACACTGAATGCACAGCTGGACTCTTGCAGGTGCTGTCAGGGACAACCTAGCCCCTCAGCTTCAAAAATCAACCCATCATGCTCCCTCATGCTACTGCAAGTTGTCCTGTCCTACACAATGGCACTGGACGCATGTACAGACGCTGCTCACACGTAGTTCATGCCACATGTGGAGTGCACTAGTGCCTTACCTTTTCTCAGCTGGATGCTGAGCCTCTTCCCTATCTTTTTGGTGTTATACCCACTGTTTGCAGTGGAGGTTAGAACTTTCTGAGGTGATGGCACCACGCCCGAGGGTGGTTTCCCTGATGAATTCACACTATGAGGTAGCTGTGAGTAGGAGTCTGTCTGATCGGACGGGTTACCCGCTCGAGACATTCTTTGCAATGTGTGAAGTCCAGAATTGTTAATACTTTTGCCGTCAGCGTACTGGGGATCAGGGCTGAACCGGCTGGAGTAGTACATGTTCTTCTCGCTTTGGGACAACTGTTCGTACTGCTCTTTATTTGCCGCAGGGACCACGTGGAACCAAATGAAAGGCGTACGCATGGCTTGGCGAAACATATGCTGTGCTCTAGGTTTCAAAATGAACAGAAAATTAGCAAATTAGGACTGGCAGACTACAAGACATTATAAGCATAATTACTAATGTTAATTAAGCAACATGAGCTGACAGACACATTGCACTCAAGCATAAACCATGAAACTTGAATCTGTTCGCTACTCTGGTCTGCTTCATGCTAAAGATTATTGCCTTAGGGCAACGCAACTGGTAAATATGCTTAACAACTAACATACCAAACACTGGATTTAGAAAAGAAAAAAATTTAACCACAGTCTTGAAATGCAGACAGTTCTATGGCAGGACCACAAGAGTCCTTTTGCTTTGAACCTTGATAATTGCATTAATTGTGATAACAGTAATCACAGTTACAACAGAAATGCCATGATGAAAATTACACCATTACTGTAATTTGCTAAGACTACATGCAGCCTTGCAATAAACCTAGTTAACATTTTACTTTTTCTGATTTAGTAGTCTTTCAGGATACAACATTAAAAAATAGGAAAAAAAAATCTTCCTCCTGCACAGACAGACACTCAGCTCTAGGTCATGTCCCAAAGTACACAAAGTCAAGAAGTCTCTTCTCAGACTGAACAAGCAGACACAAGCTGCTTTCAACCATATGGTACAAGGTCCTGTTTCAATTGAGGGTAGAGTCAAAGAAATAAAAAACATATTTCAAATGTATATTAGGTACAGGACAATCATAACTTATATTCTTCTGGCCCTCAACATCTTAGGTTTTTCAGAAGACTGTGATCATCCTCAAAATCACTCATTTTCCGCACACCTCTTTTCTGCTTTCTCTTTCAGTCATCTGTGTGTGACTTTAAAAATCTTTCTGATTCACCATTTTGGGATTCTACCAAGTAAAAGCATTCACTGAGAAAATTTTTATGATATTTCAAACTTCTCAAGGACGTTTCTGCATATAACACTTCTGGTTCTCACACATGCTGAACCACAAATATTTTTTAAATGTTAAAATAGTTTCCACGCTGTCTGCTTATATTGAACATGAGGCACTGCAAGTAGCAAAAATCATATGGGAATTTCAGGAAAAACAGTTTATTAATGCAAGAAATAAAACAATTCTGGAATGGACAAATCAATCATATGTGAAGCACATATACTTTAATGACAATAATAATACTGATTTATTTTTTTTAGTTTGGCTAACTAAAAAACACTAATGCCTCTTAGTGTATCTTTTCTCTATTATAAAGACAAAGTTAGACAGTATTTTCTTATTTTCCTCAAATCACTGCAAGGTACAGTGTTAAAAGATTAAATAATGCAATACAACGTGTGGTAAGTACACTTACTGTTCAAATCTCCTATTCCGAAGGTCTCCATCATTAATTCTGACAATACAATCATTCTCACGAAAAAGGTTTTCTTGTTCTGCTTTTCCACCCTTCTCCAAACGCTTTACTAGCAGCCCCAGGGTTCTGGAATGTTAAGATTAGAAATTATTATTGTTTGAATACTTTGCATCATGGAAAATCCTACTGATTAAATATTTCACCATAAGCACTACAAAAGCTGCATTTTAAACCATCTTGTGGTACCTTGAGGTAGGATGCTATAGTTTCAAATAATTTATAAGCATTACCTGAATTTTCATCCTTGAGCCATGAAACAAAAAGCTTAGGTGAATCAAGTATGTCATTTAAAAGTAAGAAAGAACAGGCAGTGTGATGATAGCACATCCATCCTTGCAAAGGGCCTAGATTTCTCTGCAGCATAAGCTCCAAGAAACACCATACATATGAGAGCCAGCAGTTTTTCTGCTAGTTAACTGAAGTTGAACATGTTCAACTTAAAACTTTAATTTCTGAATTAGCAGAGAATACCACAGCCATCACTACTCCCGTGCTTCTGTGCAAGTGAAACGTGAGGTCAACTCATGTAATAAGCAGCCTATAATGAAGGGATGGATAGAGCACTCAGGAACTTCATGCAAACCAAAACAGCAAAGAGGAAATTAAAAACTTAAATTCAATTTTAATTCAGCAAATTATCTTAAATCAATTGGTTCAGTAATGACTGAAGACAATCACCATTTAATAGCCTCTGTGCAATGAGTTGGTCATCTCTGTCTAGTGCTTACCCATATTGTCATTTTAAGGACAATCTTAGAGAGAAAAGGTGAATATTCAAACTGAAATTATGAAATGGATCCTGAAGAGTGGATTTCTGAGGTACTGATAGGATAGTGTGAAAAGTCAGTGACATTTCTATACCTGAACTCTAGGATTGAAGAAGGATTCAATCTTCAGGATGAATTCTTGCATCAACACTGTATTGGACTTTTTAAAAGAAGATCAGCTTTACATTGAATTCCCACAGGATGTATCAGTGGGTCAAAATCACATCATCCAAGTCTAGAGCATTATTTTTTCAGAAGTACTTTTTCATTTCAAGGCATGGCGTGAAAAATACTTGATTGCGTTGCAGGAATTGCAAGACCACATATGTCTTTTAGCACAAAATTTTCAGTGATCATAGCACTTCAGTTCACACATACCTCAAAGTAAATCAGCAGTCAATAATGCTTAAAAGGATTCATCACGTGCTTAAAAGTTACATATGGACTTGAGAACTTCATCAAATGGGTCAGAAAAGCAAAATTAACTTTATTTCTTCCATTTTAAATTCTTCATTTACCAATTTATCATCAGCATATGCAAATAAGACCTTTATTTTAAGGAACAGTCATGTTTTCTCCTACAAGGCAGATGAAGGAGTAAGAGAAACGATCCTAGTAGTATTTCCATTTTGGACCCACCTAGAGACATTAAGATATGATGTTGAAAGGATCTCTACATGTAAACAGACTGCGAGGAGAAAAATAAAATAAACCATTTTGACAACACAAATCATCCCATGAAGTTTGAGTCAGACATTAAAGTTAACGTTAACATTCTGTTTCCAACTGTTTCAGAGTCTTTTGCAAATAGCTAATGTATTGCACCTTAGACCTGTCCAGCAGATCCATCAGAGACAAACCTTCTCCACCCTCCTTTGGTTCCTGATGGAATACTTGGGTGCAGTTACTGATGCTGAGATTGGGTTTGACTTTAGCTCAGCTGCTGCAATTAGCAATCTGTCACTTTGCATTAACACCAGTGAGCACAAGGGCCAGAAAGATTCCATAAAGCTAAAGAGCATGATCTCTCTAGAACACAAGCATTTCAGAAAAATGACCTCGAAAAACACAACCAGAATTAGTGTGTATCTAGTCCTATATCTCCCCATTCCAAATTTATGTTCTTTGGATTTGGAAAGTTCCACCTTCCAACAACCCAGCATCTCCCTTGAAAAAGGAAAATTTAAAAAAATAATTTAAAAAACACCAAAAAAACCCAACACACACACACACAAAAATCCCACCAATTTTCCCAAATTTCTCAAAGGAAAAAAAAATCAGTCTGCATGTTTGTTTGTTGCCTGTTTTTTTGGTTTGGTTTTCCTTTGATCAGCAAGGTAGTGAAACACTTTGTACTATCTAGATGATTTTGGCAGGTTTCTGTTTGCCTTTCTCTCAATTCTCTAATAGTCTGAATGAAAATTCTGTAAGTCTCAAACAGTCACACACCAATGGAACGACCATGTTCTGCTCCACTTATTGTACTAAAATTTCCTAATAATTATGAAGGTATGCTGTCAAAGGAAGTAAAACAAAACAAAAATTTAAAATATTGATTAAATCGCTTTGTCCTTCTGTTAACAAAAAATAAGCTTTGAACACAGCCCCAGATTTTAAAAACTGAGAAATAATTATTTTTAAAAAAAGGTATAGATTGCTTGTTAGTTGCAGAAAGCACTAAAATAACAGCTATCAAGGTTATTCATAAAAAGGAAAGAGACTCACTTGCCTTCAGAATTATAGTTTTGAGACATAAAAGTCATGATTAGAAAACAAGTTAGTGACTTTTTCACTTGTGAGTTGTTTAATTTCTCTGGAGAGACAATACATGTAAGCCTTAAAGTGAAGTTACTTTAGAGGATATCTCTAAATGGGGAAAAGAGAAGTAAGTAAATATAAATTTGGGAATGTTATAGGGAAAACCAATCAAAATATTTGAGGGGGACAGGAAAGAAATGTGTCCACTCTTCCTTTTCTTTCATTTCATGTCCAACAGAACTTTGATGCAGGTATGTTCCTCGGTAATACCAAAAGACAGCTGAGAATTTGGAGGTGCATGAAGTGCTTGCATGAGAGCACACACAGTACACTGCAACAGGTATTTTGTTTATATGCTTAAATATAAAAAAATAGCAAAATATCCATGTGCTAAATATAAAAACCTATTTTACACAAAGTAGAGCACTCCAAGGTAACACTATACAAAATAATATATACACTATATAAATATATATACACTATATAAAATATAGTGTATAAATATATATACACTATATAAAATAATATTATTTCATCTCAGTGTTGCCATGTACTTATGATTACACAATAACTGGTCTACCACTGGTTTCTGCATAGCATTTGTCTTGAAATGCTGCCTTGTGCTGTCTCACATTCTGGAGTAACATTAAGTTACTAATGCAAGATGCCTCTTTATGCATGGTTTGCCATTTCATAAATTTATTTAACCTAAGCTTTCAAATCTAGTAAAAACAGTACTAATCCTAACCAACAGTAAAATCTTACACATAAAAAACTACCAGTCAAAATTGCAAATAATCTTATTTTTTAAAAAGGCTAGAAGTTCTACTAATTCAAGATTGCTCATCTCAGACACAACATATGGTGCTCATAAGGATTTTGCTTTTTAAAATTTTTAGAGCTAGGTTAACCAAGGCATATAAAGCTAAAGTCCCTGAGAGCAGATTCAAGGCTGGATGAACAGTCTGAGTCAAATTTGAAACCAAGACCTCTCAGTGTCTTTTAATTTATTTATTTTTTTATATATAAACACATGGAGCAAAAGATCCCTTTAGGCATAGTTCCAGAAAAATATTCCTGAACGCAGTTCTGCATAGCAGAGTAAACTGTCCTAGAACTTGCAGAAACTGTATATTCCTGAAAATGTTAGTAACAAATGCCTATCTATATCCTACAGAATTTCTTCAACATATTATGGTTAGGTGTAAGAATATTGGCTCTAAAAAGAGCATTATGAGAATTCATGTTCACTGTTGCAGTAACTGGAGATAAACAGAGTAGACCTAATATTGCAAATTTGCAAAAACCTAAAAACAAATTGGATATTTTTTCCCTGCCATGTTCCACCACCATTAATCCTGATAAGTGAGGATGTAGCTCTATATTTTCAAGATTGCATTTCCTACATTAGGAAAACATAGATTTTGAAAGTCTGTAAACTAATCTAATATGAAATACAGAAGTCAGTATATATACGTTTAAACACAACCATGTAGCATACAAATATATATCTGCATTTGAATTTGCTTAATCTTGTTCAGTTAAAGTAAGTCAACATGTTTTCTAACATAAATTCTCCTATTATAAATGTTTAAAGCCATAACTTCTTCAAGAATGAGATTAAATTTTGTATGAACGTCTGCAAAACACTCTGCCACTCTACAACTCTGCTGAAATAATAATTATACATGGAAATTTGGTACCTGCACTGCTTTAGACTAATGTTAGCTGACATGGGGACAGAAGGGAAACAGTATCAAAGCACAGACCTCAATCTTTGTATTTGTTTTAAATACATAATTAGGAATGTAAACAACTTAGATTATATTAGCATTTGTACCACTGTATTTCCACAAGGTTCATTACTTTAATTATAGAATTCAAATAAACTCAGCTACATGTGTTAACATTTCAGTTATCAGTATAAATTACAACAAATGATAAAACTGGAAATAAGCAGTGAATGTTCTATTGACATCTAAATTGTCTGAGTTAGTCTGGGTAGTTCTTTGAAACTGTGAACTCCCCACATGCCATCCAGCTGTATAGACATGATGAACATTTGTCTTAATAAAAACTGACAGTGTAAATACTATGAGAGTAATAAAAAAATTACATTGAACATCTAGAATATGATTTGGCCATCACCGCCCATTGTATGTACACATTGAAGTTATTTACCTATTACCTGCATGCTAACTGGAATATAATCAAATCAGACAGAACAGAAAATAACTGATTTAGATGTTTATGTAAAATCACTAACATGAAAAGGCAAAAACAAATTAAGAGACAAAAAGGATTGATTGAAAAGCCAATGTGTAGCAGTTTCACGCAATGAAAGATCCCTGAGAAGTTTTACAGGAACATAAACACATTATAAATTTCCTGAGATTTGAAGGTCAGAGTAGGCAAACCAGCTTATTTGTTCAAGTTAAATTGTGGTGGCTGATCAATGCTAAATTGGGCATCAACTTCTTTGCACAACATTGACGTCATGGCACCGTTGCAGAGGCATTAAAATAACTTTATCAGCTTTCATGCCTGAAGTCCAGAACCAGTTTCCAATCTTTGGTAGTTACTCCTCAGCTTGTTAGATTGAATAATACTTCAAATTAAGTTTACATAATTTTTTTAAAGGCTGAGATCAGACAAAGAAAGACTTGAATTCAGCTAAAAGAGTGAGGGAATGGTACATTCATACCACAGGGAATCTTTCCCTAACGCATATGTTTTTAAGAACCATGGCTACCTTTGGGACCTAAAAGTTGAAGAGCAAGGGAGTAAAAAATGGAGATGCAGGTAACACACACGTCCTAGATGATCAAAAAGAACACAATTGTTAGAGAGGCACCCTGAAGGCAGTATTAAGGATTCTCATTATAGACAATGGCCATTAGATATTACTTCAGTTTTCTTTGTATCTTGAGTAAAAGATTAAAACTTTCACAGGGAAATATGAAGTGATTTGTAATCTCTAGAAAATGAAGGTCACTTCCACTAGAGGCAAGAAAAAAAAAAGACTACTGAACTGAAAAACATAAACAATTTCCTAGTACAGGGACTGTGTGCCTACCCTCATTTGATGTTTCTCATTTTTATTAATAAAGTCTGTTACATATGTCATTTTAAGTGATAAAAAGCAATAAAAATCAGTCTCTTATCTTTCCCATTCTTTTGATACTTCCTTAATAATTTAGGACAATTAGGATATATAACATGAAAACTTGGATTAGGCATTTTTAGCCGCCAGATTTTAGCTGCACAGTTTTATCTTGGATTTTGCTGCATGCTTCACTGGGAAGAACAGCTGGCAGAGCCCTACTTACTGCTCTGCATCAAAGTAATGTGCCTGGTACTTATCAATGGATATTCTTTATGGGGTTTTCAGATGAATAACCAAATCCTTTCCTGTTCTGTTTCACAAAGTAGACTTCACAGTAGTCTTGGGACTCTGGGACTATAACTTCCATATCATTACTCACAGAGATTTCTAATGTTATCTCATATATTCCTTGTCTCAGTTGAATCTCCTTCCAAATGACAGAAATAGCAGGATTTCGGAAAAGCAGCCAGGGTATAGAGCTTGAGAAGATTTCAAAGACTGTTAGAAGCAGAAGAGGCCATATAACAGTAAATTATACTGTAATTACTATGAAGCTTGCAGAGGAGAACTCAATGTAACCCCATTTATGCATGAACATAACCCCCATCAGCCAGCATTGCTCAAATGCTCTTCTTAAGGAACTGAGCACTTTGCTCTCCTCTCCAAAAACCTAAGAAGAAGGAAGGATAGGTACTAAAGGCAATTTTGCACAGATTTAGAATCTGTGTTCCATTTATGCTTTCCTTGCATTCATTTCCTCTTTTTTCTACTGTTACTTAAACACTTGCCTCTTTACTTTCTATTCTGTTTTTTTCTGCTTTCATTTTCATGCCCCCTATTCTGCTTAGCACTGCATCTATGCCAATGCAAAAATGTGCAAGCAGGTTTTGCAAAAAACATTTTTACCTTGGAAAACTTCACAACCATAAGGTGATAAATACATATACCCCTCCTCTCTTTTGATATGGTAAACAAACTCTGTTATCCAAAGCATATGATCAAAAAGGCCAATAAAGGATGGATAAACTTCTAGAGGTAAACAGAGTGTTCATAGAAGAAAGTTTGACCACATCTGTATAAACCAGCAGTACTTTTCCCAGAGAATTATGGAGACTTTTATATCATTTTCATTTTTAGAAGTCTCTGTTTTATTAGGAACAGAAATAATTAGTAGCATCTATATAGACAAGGCAGAGATCTTTACAGATTTTGTTCAAGATCAAAAGCCAGATTCTTACTCCAAACCCTCAAAAGACCATAAAAAAGACAAATATTTCCTCAATAGAAATAAAGGCCATAGTTACAACATAACATTTTTTAGAGGTTTAGGATGTTTGTTTTGGGGTTTTTTTTGGGGGGAGGGGGTAAAAGGCCCCTGCTTATTGGATAGGAGAAAAAGGAGAGTATCACATTAGAATGTTTTTACAATTTTTCATTTTTTAAATCAATGATTTAATCACCATTGTCTATTGAGTAACATTTTTTAAAGCGAACAAAAGGAACCAAAAGAAAAATAATTGATAACACAGCATAACTGGAATTGAACACTAAGCAAGTATAAAACAACAATGGGCAAATGGACTAAGATATATGATATATCTGATCTTTTCTTTTTGGACATGCCTCAAAGTCTTTACTGAGTCCTGTGTTTGGTTTTGTATATTTAGGTTTCTGCTGAGCAGACCCTTTGCTCAAGTTAGTTAGTTCCCCATCTCATGCATCATTCTGCTTTGCAGCCAGAGGAGGAACAAAGAGCAGCCACGTACTAGAGTGAGAAAGAAGTAGGCAGAAGAGGATCCCTGCCAAGCATCTGCTCTCCCTTTGAACTACCAAAAGGAGCACACCAAGTTTATCTTAAATCTGCTTAAAAGATCTGGAGAACCAGGAGAAAAACAAAACAAAACACACACACAAAAAAAACCCCAAAAAACAAACAAACAAAAACTAAAAAATAATTTTTAAAATCCAGCAGATTGTTTAAGAGGGGCTTGAAAAAGCTCAGACAGCAATTGCACATACCATCCATTTTTCAATGAGGGTGATTCTAGTACTGTGAAGTAGATAAACTTTCATATAAAAAATATTTATCTTGCAACAAAATTTGATGGTCAGGTATGTCCTGATTCTAAACATCTATATTTAATACTGGCTTTCCTCTCGTAAAACTTTTATCATGTAATCCCAAACTCAGGACAAAGAAAAAGAGTTAAAAGTCCTTCACAGCTCTTGGCACAGCTACCAGACTTTAAAAAAGTGAGATATTTTATTTCTGTGTTTATGGCTGTTTCATTTTACATGCTCTCATTATGTATAAACAGTTTAAGCTTTGCCTCAGACTTGACAACCACATTAACATCCTGGAAGTGAATTTTACTTAAGTTGAAATTCTTATTCAAAATGTCAAAATATATATTTCTAACATCCATTTTATTAAACAAGTATGTAGTAGGCAGCCAAGACTCTTAAATGGGTCTTTTTCTTGGCCTTCATACTGTCTAAATCCCAGATAACTGTGAACATTTCAACCAGTTTCAACTTCATAGGATTTACCTCTTAGCTTATGTTTGACATACCATTCACTGACACCCTTTCCATTCCCACAGTGAATTTAGAAAATTTCAGATTATGGAGAGAAGAATTTACCCCTTTATGGAAGTTTTGCTTACTACTATAATCCTCAGAAAAATTATCCTTAAATTATTAAAAAAAATAAATAAAAAAAAAAAAATTCTCATAATACACGTCAATATGGCTATGAAAGTATTTTATTTAAAGTGACAACTGCAAATAAAGCTCCTAAACTGTATTTAAAATCCTCTGAAGGTATTTGGTATAGAAGGAAAAATACATTAATCATTTTTCAAAAGAGGACCTTAATATTTTTGAAAAGAGGATATTAATATTTGAGATATAAGCATAGGTATAGCAAGTTAGTTTTGCTCTCAATTACTAAACTGAAATTACTGCTGAGTCAAGAGACATGTAAGACCAAAACACCCCTCCATGTGTAATCACAGATTACTTTTAAAAATATGTATCTGTTCCCCTTTTCCTTAAAGAGAGAAAATACAGCGTATACTTAGAATATGCATCACCAAAATAAAATGCGTCTATATTCCTGAAGAACTATCATTTCTCAACATACTTATTAGCTTCAAATATACCACCAACTACCACTACAAAAGTTAAGCTCTTTTTCTGATGTTTATAACCCTAAATGTTAAATTTCTGCTTTAGCAGAGTAAGCATTAGAGGTGATGCATTCTGTTTACTAATACAACCCTCCACATAATATTTTTTAATTTAAAGGACTTCCTTTACTCTTTTTTCTCTAAACAAACCAACTTCAGGAGTTCCAGCCTGTCATACAATAAAATGGGTCCACCTTCCCCAAAACTAGAATGTTTCAACTGGTTTTGCTACTTCATTGTAACCCCAGCAGATGGGACAACACTAAATACTGAGAGCGTGATGCTTGTTCTCTCTTCCACTCTTGTTGGGCACAGGCATAGGATGTCCCTGGTTTAGTCTCCTGCTGTCCTTTGGGAACGTGTGGCTCTAAACAGTCAGCCAGGAAATGTTAAATAAATATCTACCTGAATTAAAGCAGCAGATTATAATTTTTAAGATTCCAAAAGGAAACATCTCTATACTCTTATTTCCCATGAGACTACAAAAGAACCTCTATTAAAACCCCACCATTTTAACTCCTTTTAAGCAGAGTGTTTCCATTCTAGAGTCTGTTCCAAGTAAAGAGTCAGTAAACTTGCATTTCTTCCTTTCTTGGTAAGTGAGATGGCCTTTTGAAAAACATTCCATATTTTACAGAAGGCAAAGACACCCAATACAAAAATTAACACAACTAAGATAAAACAAGGAAAGTAACAATTCAATTAAAAGCCTACACGATACGTTACCTTCCACCTCGGGCACTGAAAGGCACTACATGGATTCCCAAAGGCCCGCCGTCATTGGAGACTTCTACGAGCTTTACCATATCACTGTGAGACAATGATGAATGAGGGAATATGAACATGTACTGTGAAGGAACCAAAAAACCCCACACAAACATATATAGAAAAACAAAACTATTCCAGAAATTATATCATGGTGATGAAAGCATTGTGGAATGTTACGTACCTGAAGATTAATCTGATGGCATGAAAGAAAACCAATCATCAAAAATAGTTCAATTAATAAAACAAAAATGAAAGATTATTTTTTTGTAAACTTAGTTTGCTACATAAAAATAGGTATCATCATCATTGTATGCATATTGTTGGATTTCTTCCTTATTCTAAAGCTACATTTTACGTTAACTTTTTGGACCATTGAGCAGAAATACTTTAAATACCACAGGCAATTCTTCCACAGACGATTAAAGCTGATCATAGCACTAGCGTGCTTTATCTTTTCTTTATCTTAGAGAGAGCCCACTCTAAGCCTTAACATTAGCTTTCAAATAACTACACCTTAATCAAGTAAGAATTAATAGATTTTTAATTGGTTGAATTATTCTAGTTTTAGAACTCATTAATTTGGTTTTCTTTAAAATTCCATTTCTTTTACTGGAAGATTGCTATATCTGTATCTCCTTACAAGGGTAAGTTTCTGAGGTAAGATTTAACAATAACATTCAAAACCAATGAGAAGTCCTGAAGCAACTACGGATCTAGTTTTCAATTATACTTTTTGCTGTAGAGAGGGGTAAAGAAAAAAGGAAGCACAGGTTCAGAAAGAGACATGAAAAAATTATAGAAGTAGATTTGGATCAAATCTACTGGTGCCTTTGAAACATGCCCACATCTGGAAAGGTGGAATATGGCCCATAAATCAGAAAGAATTATAACCAAATGAGAAAATAATACACTGAAGGCCAAACCTCTCAGTAAATCTGGAAGTGAGAGATCTGAACAAAAGCCACAATCTAAATTTGTGGGTTATGCCTCTCTCTAGCATTACATACTTTTTCCATATTTCCTGGCACTACATACATATATACACAGACCTTTAAGAAGCTTGTTTCTCATAAGCGTACAAATCAAATTTAATCTAGAAATGGAGGAAAGAGCAAGACCAATTCCCTATGACAGCAGTAAAAGACTTTCTAACTCCTTCAATAAGCTTTTGATCATATTGTGACCCATCGCAAAAACTTGCAGCACTTAATCTGGAGCCTGAGAATAACCAGCCCACATATTGTTAGGAAGTCAACAAAAATTCAGCATTACAGTTGTGTTTATATTTCTTCCACATTATTTTTTTTTATATACTTCAAGGTAGCCTTCACATTTGTTGTATTCCTCAATTTGTGTCTGCCTTTTTAACTTGTTTTTTAAATAACACAAATGGAAAGTCTCTATCCCTGTCGTGGCTGTTGAGCTCAAGAAAGCTTTACAGCAGCAGGAGAGCTGAGAAACCTCAGCCAAAAACGTGTTATTCTTCAGACCTGGACCAGTGCTTTAAGACTGACAGTGTTACAGCATTTGGTAAGGTTCCCTATCCCAGCTGCTGTACAGGCTAACTTAATTTTGTCCTCACTGTACATTAAGGCTAAGATTTCATTAGCCAGTGTGCAAAGCAGCTCACAGAAATCAGCCAATTCTTTCCACCCCCTAAAGGTGCTCTAAAAGATGTCTTTTGTTATTGGTATCCCTATGGCTCCCTATGATCAACTTCTTTCTGACTTTCCCATTTGCTTAAAAGACAATTGAGGGCTGAGGAAAAGAACAACTGAAAACTAATCTTATTCAACTGGAACTGTCATAAGTGTCACAGCTGAAATTAAAAAGAAAGCCAGTTTTCATATCCAGCCTACACTTTAACTTGTTCTACTGATTGAGTCAGTAATCTTCCTTTTTTCCAAAAACACACATTTGAGGTCTAGGCACTCATTTTTATTATACTCTTTCTTAAAAAAACACCCACCCAAATTCAAATTTTAAATCCGGTCAAAGGCAAAACAAAAGCAAACAATTCATTCCTAAGAGAGATTGCTTCGATTTTGTTTCCTGATTTCTCAGAAGTTTGGGCCAACTATTTCAAACAAACATACATAAGTGTGATATCTAAACAGAAAAGAATGAAGTAGCATATGACGAAAAGGCAATAACTTACTTAAAAGCAACCCCAAGAAGCATTAAATTTGACAGAAGTGCTGCAAACACTGTTTAGCAAACAGCATTTGGAAGTTACAATGTAACAGGTTTTGTAATTGGAAAGGAGTAAAATTCTGCATGTATTGCCTAATAGATACCAACATGATCTTTATCTAACATTTAAACCCTCTACACCTAATTCATAATTTGCTTCAGAAATAAGAGAAGCCCCATGATTTATTTTTATTTAAATGTAATCAATTTAAAAGATTGCATTTAGGAGTAGAAGGTATATATTCTCATTAATTCTGTAGTGAGGCATGGATCAGCTCTTTGCAGCAAAATGCAAAAGGTCAGGCTTGCTGTATCTCATGATGACATGAAATAACTTTTACTGATGTTTTTAAAATTTGCATGAGCTTTTGAGTCTCAAATGACATCAGTTTTTATCCATTCATGATGTATAAGGCTTTTGACGACAGAATTTATGTGACCCCCACATACATCTTCCCAGCAGACTGTGAACTGGTGACAGGGATTAAAATTTCCCCTTTTGAAATTCTTGAATAGTAATTTTCTTTTTTCTAACACTGACCCTATTCCTTCTGTCAAGTTTTCAGAGTTCCATCAAATAAGCATCTTCTTTGAGGCAGAAAATCTACTGTAGCATCAGCACTTACAAATGTCAGGTTTCTAAAGCTCACTTTTAACACAGACTTTTAAAACTATTTAGAATCTGCTTTAAAAAGGTCCAGGAAGCAAATTGTTTTGAACCAAAATGACATACAACCTTACTTTCTTAATAGCAGTATCACTCGTGCTACTCTGAGTTTTTCACTAGTTTATGCTCAGTCTCAAGACTCATCATTAAAACAACGTGTTCTGCCAATAACTTACTCCAGAGAAAAACTGGAAGCATTCTCCAAACCAGTGTCTGCATGTCCAACAGGCTCAACTCTGCTGTTGTCCTCCTCTGTCCGTTCTTCATCCTAAATATTAAAAAAAAGTAAATAATAACTTAAAGCTAGGTTTATTAGGTTAATTCATTTTAATAATGCCATATTACCATTGTCAGATTGTTGGGGTAACCACATGTGATGTGGAAACGTGTGCTTCCAAAACTACAATCTTTTCTGTTGCTGTCTGTGACTGTTGTAAATTGTTTTTATTTCCACTTCATGCTTTTTTTCTAGTGATATTTATAGTTTATTCAGTTCAATATCTTAATTTTACTATAGTTGTAAGAGCAATGCTACAGAAGCTATCACAGTGAGCATTTTGTTAAAAGGTAACCAAGTAAACACACAAAATCAGCTCATGGTCAGCAGTGTTTGGGCAAACTATTGACAAGCTCTCTCCAGGCAGGCTATTAGGGACTCTACTGTAAAGACACAAGACAGCTCACTCAGGCTCATCTGCAAATAGTTTAAAACAGTATAAGAAAATGGTGCTTGTATAATTCCATAAAGTATCAAGACTTCTTTAAACATTTTATCCCAGGCTTTTATTAATAGCATGCCAGAAAAGGCTGACATCAAAGAGTTACTTGAGGATATAATGCTAACCATTTGATTTTATTTTTAATTTGACTTTCCAAAAAGTACATGCATTATTCACTAAATGTATAAACTTAATGTCAAAGTTGTGAATGCTGTACTTTCAAATTTAGATTAAGGTAATTAAAGAACTACCAGCAAGAAGATCTAAAACCATTCTTTTACCTATGTTACTCATTTCAAGCTTACACTTTCAATTAACCACATGACCAAACAGAAAATATTATAAAATGTGAACAGTAGGTTTCAAATGCAGACTTCTAGAGCTACAGCCATCAAGTCAGTAAAATAATAAGTGATTGGTTACAAGTTTAGCAGAGTCAGACAATATATCAAATTATTGAAGAGATATTAAAGGCAGGCAGAGGCAGTTGGTAATGTCCAATTGACATTTCCAAGCAGCAGGCTGGATACATCAAGCTTCCACAGGCTGTAGATATGCCTTGTGCATCCTGGATAGCAGAGCACTGCATGAAGTCCTGCTACTTGAAGATTGATGATCCTGTGTTCTGAGAGGCTTTAATATGCACTTCTTCGCCATCTATCTCTGTTAAGCACTAGGCAAGTAATACATTTCAAAGGTTAACCAGCATCTTGAACCCAGCCAGAAATGCATTATTAATGGAAACAAGAACTCAAAATATAATATTTTCCATATAATAAAAGTTGCTTATAAACCAAATATAAAGGATAATCTATATCATTCATAAATACGACATAAGTTAGTGTTTACATTTCTGTAGTTACTGATTTCAGATGAGGTTCTATATGTGCCACTGAACAAGGGTTTAAAATAAATAAATCTTCCAATCTCCATGACAATTCTAAAGCTATATGCAATAAGATACATATAGGAAAGACAGAAAACTTGGGAGTTATTTCACATTAAAAAGAAGCATTCCACTTTGTTTCATATAGCACCTTACAGATCACTGTTGCCATGGGTTTCTTGTTTTGAAGTTACAGACATTGGTGATTGCAAAAGCTACATATTTATACAGCACTGAAGCTGCAAGTCTAAAATCAGAACTCCTGATGAAACACAATTTTGAATCTTAGTATGTTAAAAGGTCATCACAAATGAATGTTATTTTGTTAATACAGTGGTTTTGGCAAATGCAGAATAAGTATACAGACATGTAAGAAGGGACTGAAACACTGTCTTCCCATCAGTAGATATACCCCTGCTAGTAAAAACTGCCTAACTCTATGCTGTCATTTTAGTAGACATCTATATATGCACCATGTTAGCATCATTCATCTAGTACCACTTGGGTTCTACACTTTACCATGCTTTAGTGCTTCCCCTGATTAGTATAAATTAAGTGTCTTTGTAAACAGATCTCCTCCTGCCCCAGTCAGCCTTGGCAGCAGTCCTTCAGACTTGCTTTCAACAGAGCCGCTTTGTGTGTGTCCTCCAGAGCCACAGACCACCATGTGTAACTCCAGCTAAATCCTTCTTTCCACCACTATCCCGCCCTGATTATATCTTCACTCTCATTCCTAGAGTCTCCCAATATCAGTTCATACTTAAGCCTTTCCACTTGTTGCACATCCCATTTTCTTTTTTTTTTTTTTTCTGTCCCACCTGATGGTCCAGAGGTTTGCTCTGCCAATGGACAGAGAATCCCCCTGCCTGACCCTGAGCCAGGACAAAAGCAGCAGCCAACTCACCTGCCTCCTGCATTTACCATATATTTTAATATTAGGATATAACACATCAGAAACTGCAAATCAAATGCTTTGTAAAACAGATGCTATCTGGCACCATCATATCTACTTTTTGTGCCTTTTGTATTGAGAATTATAAACACAGCAAGTTTGGAACCAGACTCACTGTCAGTTATCCAAGCAATTAAGAAACAGCAGCTCTCACACGCCTCTGTCTGGCTTTTCCCGGACAGCAGACAGATCTGTATCAAAAACATGCATGTGCCTGTAAATAGATGCTTAGAGAAAGAATCACAACCCTAACAAAAGTACTACTGCCATAATCAACAGATGTGTGATGTATCCTTTTAAAAATCTTTAATGTTACAGTAATCAGGCTCTCTTTTCTTCTCAAAATAACACAGATTTTTATTTACTTTGAAGTGAACGAAGAGAAAAATTGGACACCTGCAGAGGGTTTTGACTTAAAATTCTGCTTTACTAAGAAAAGTAACTAGCTGTGAAAATCTCTCCATTGAGCAATTATTTCTTTATTTGGAAAATAGTTTTCTTCTAAAAGGCAAATTCCATCTGGATGTGCTATCATGAGGTAAACCAAAAAAAAGGACATTTAAAAACCAAGAAAGTGTCCAGGAAGCCAGACAGGTATTATTGCAGGCATTTCTCAGAAATAACTGTTTTGAGCAAACTCCCAAACTTGTTTGGTTTCTTTTCTCCCTCTAGTAACACTGACTCCTGCTATATCAAGCAGGAATCCAGCTTTTAATGTACGGCCACTACAGATAGAATGGGTTTGTTGTTTTTTTTCCAAAAGGTAAATTAAGTAATTAAAAGATTACTTGATTTTTACAGCAGAGGGAAAAATTTAAAGCACTTCTTCCAGTGTACTTCTCCATACTTGGATATGTTTGGTGTAAAGTTCCCCCCATTCCCTTCTGCTGGGGAGGGCTTCTCACCTGGGCCTCACTGTGCCATCAGGCAGGGATGTTCCTAAAGCACATCTGCCATCTGTCATGCATTTAGGTGACATATACAGAGATGAAACAATAAAATGGCATCAAAAGAAAGTAAAGTTTGTAAGATTTGTCTTAATTTAAGACAATTAGGATTTCAAAGCGCTATTCTTACTTTTAAATGGATCCATACAAAATTCCTGTCTTACAACAGCCAAGTTTGTGCACAGGTACACACAGCAGCAGATTGTTTCACATATCATTTTAAAACAAAAAACACCACCAAAAAAAACCCCCAAAACCCGACCACTCTTTTTTTTTTATTATCATTCTAACTTCTGTAATAAAATTATCAACTGTTCAGAATGCACTCTTAATGCTAGCAGTTCTGCATATAGAAAAACCTTTTTCACGGTTGACCTGCACAGCATCAATAAAATATATGTGAAAAGTTGCCAATTTGTTTTTCATTTTTTTTAAGAAAATTTCCGTATCACCTTAGGATCACAAAATCCTCTGAGTAACGAAATCTTAGCATTGCACTTGCCAACAGAACGTTATTCAACATATATGAACCCAAACACACCCTTTAATTACATTTTCTCAGATTATTTCTGAGTGAAGACTGCCTTGTTTCATTTACAAAGCTTAAAATGAGCCATGCCTTTCCTATCTTACCAGACATTTTATCTTTCGTTACCAAAACATCAGCTTCCACCTCTGATGAATCCACAGTTACTACCAGTCACTATTTCATCTTCAAAGAAACACTTTCCCACTCATTTTTGCTGCTCAATACATTTATAATGAACTCCCCCAAAACATGCAGAACTTATTCACATGAACTTCTTTTCTAGACAATCACCTGCAGCGGCATCCAGGGACTCTGAATAAAGTTAGTCCAGACACTTAAATTCCTACATGTTCTATTTATGCAGTCTCTATTTCTAGGTGCCTGGTCTGAGTTAGTGCTAATTGCAGTCTTCTTCAGCCCAACACAACGGGAAATTTGTTCTGAAGGCATACAAGAACTCTATAAATCTGTCTCTCTGAAATGCAAGAGCTACACCTCCATTCTACCAATAACTAGGGGGGAAAAAAAAAAAAAAAAAAAAAAAAAAAAGTAGTATTTGGGTTTGGCTTGTTAGGCTTTTTCAATTCAGAAGGATATAGTAGTTACTGTGTTATTGTCCAGAAAGTGATTGGTTATTTTAGTGATAAAGGCTATGTGAAAGAGAGTAACTCTGCTTTCAAATTACTTGAGCACTCCATGGCAAGGTCAGCACTGACCAACTCAAGGGAAAAAAACTGACTGGTCACTTATGTAAATACTAACTATCCTGTGCACAGAATAAATCCAAATTAACAGTAAAGAAAGGGAAGCTGTATTTAAAGGTTATGGCAATACATGTGTGTATGGACCCATGCAACAGTTTCACCACCAACCTCCCTTCTGCAACCCACAGTGCCGTTACAGCCATTCCTCATGTGCCTCTACCTTCATCTCCAACACCAGTTACAGGCTCCCTCTCCCAAACCTGTGCCTTCCTGCCCTGACTTAGCTGTTATCTTACACTAAATTTAGAGAGTATAATCCTCCACCTTATCTGAGTGCTGGGAAAGGAATAATGCAAAGCCAGGCCAGGCTGGGTACCCAGCTGATCCTGCAGCAGGAAAAGCTGGCATCGCACCATGGGGACCTCACCTCGGAAAGCGTGCTCAGCTGCTCCAAGATTTAACGTGCTTAGTGAAAAGAGAAAGTCTGGGAAATTAAGCTGTAAACTGAAGTAAAATCTGTTTGCATAGTAC